CATTGTTTTTTCTGGGGTGTTTTGATTTTGTAAATTTTTCTTGATTCATTTCTATGTACAGTAGTGAGTTGTCATATTTTGTTATATAAAATTTAATTTCATATACCTGTACTGTATAACCAAATTTGCAATCTGTTTCATTCCCATCAGTTTAGAATAAATATACAGATATACAAAGAAATAATCATTTAACCATATCCTGTTTCATATTCATATGCTTTATTATAAATTTGGTAAATAAAGATATAGCTCATCTTACAAAAATAATTTGACTACAGTATTTACAGGTATATGCAGAAATAAAATTTGTCTGCAATACAAGGATGCAATGAAAATTTGATTCCTGTCTGGTTTGGTGAAGATGTCAAAATAGCATTTACAGATCTTGGGTAATGTAAGAAAGGTCTAACACAGGGGTCTCAAGCAGGGGGGAATTTCCCCCCTCAGGTTTTCAGGGGGGGGGGGGGTAAACTGATACTAATATGGAAAAAATAAAGGATTTTCAGTATTATATGCATATTATTTGGAATGCACTTTTTGATGCAGACAATCTTGGAAAGGAGGGGGGAATGACATTCTGACATATGGTGAAAGGGGTGCATGGGGCAAACAAGGTTGAGAACCACTGGTCTAACAGAACTTACAGAAAATTGAGTAATTCTCAGCACCATTAAAATGAGCTATCCACACTATGTGTGGTTGGTTTATTCTTGTAATGTAAAACAGGTAATGTTAAGCTGTGGGTGGAATGATGAAACACTGCTGATGACTCCCTTAACCTATTCTAAACGAATATAAGGATTGTTTCTTTGATGCTTCTTCAGAATTCATAAGCCACTTACATTAGCGGCAAAAAAAGGGTTTGTTTTTCCTATAAGTTTATGTGAAATCCCTGCAATCTGATATTTTCCGCTGACAATGAGTTAATCCTAATACTGGCAGAAACAAAGTACTGTACTGTACTGATGTACTCTCATCACATATCCATTTATTATATAACATATCCTGCTTTTAATAAAGGCTATAACCTGACATTAGCATGATCAATGTATTCTTATCCTTATTGTTATTACAGTTAATATTAAACATTAAAAAATACAGAAATAATTTGTGATTAACAATGCAGACTGTATTCAAGATATTTGTAAATCATTTAATTATCATCTTGTTTTATGTTTAACATTTTAGTCTCTGGTTAGTTGGTAGAATTTCATGAATATACCTACTGTATTGTATAGGGGTACCATGACATTTGCTCACAAGATGAACCTAACCTAACCTAACATGTCTTCCTTTCCATTATTGTTGCGAGTATTTGTATTGTGAGTACGATATATGCCTTGTGAGCAAATGTCGGTACACCACCTATATGGAGACTGGTGAGGATCCATATACTGTATTTACATGTAATATGAGCCCTGCTATAACGTGTTTTGATAACGCTAATTTGCTCTCTAACGCTGTATTTATGAATTGTGAACTATAGAGCTTGTGTTAACGTAACGCTTGTTTGCTATAACGCGATTTTTGCTTACTTGCTTCAATTTTGTGGTACAGTGGGGTATGCTATAACGAATCTAATTGGTTCTAGAACCTTGTTTGTTATAGCATTCGTTCGTTATAGGATTAATCCGTTCCAGGCCCCCAAATACAACCACTTAACACTGAAAAATATAATATAAAATTGTAAAAATTGTAAAAAAGTGCATAAATATGCATCTAAACCCCTGAAATAAAGAATATCATTAATATTTGTAATAAAAAAACAATAAATTAGAAAAAAAAAATTAAATAATGTGAATATAGTAAAGAAGAATATCAGCAAGAAGCGTTCTGGTGATAGAATTCCTGGTGATGATCGTAAAAGAAAGGATATAACACTTGAAGAGAAGCTCGATTTTATCAACCTCAAAATCACCCTTCTCCCCCATCAAGTAAAGTGTTACATTTACTGTATGATTTCATTATTAGATATGAATGTAACATTTATTTAGACTGTGCTATCCTTTGTTAGGCTAACTACTAAATTTTTTCGATTTCGAGTAATCTGCACCTAACCCTATTTTCTCCATAGCCTAAGTTATTTATTACGATTATAACACGATATTTACTAAAGGAACACACTATCGGCGATAGCAGAACTACCTGTATTTACAAATAAAAGACCGTTTAAACAATGGATACTTTTCTTCAACTGCTGGTTTAGGCCATGTTATTAACATATTCTATCAATTTTTACTCCTGACATCGTGAAAGTGTTCATGTCTTGCTCTCTTTCTTTGGGTATTTATTGCATTACTATAATCAGGTGGAGACGAGTAGGAAACATTATCTCAAGGTTTCATATCTTGTAGATAACTGGCCTTTATACTTGTATAATATGGAAGTAAAGATTTTTGGTACAAAGATAATTTCCTGTTTGATAGAAAACTAACAGTTATGGTGATATTTTTCAAGATTTTATCCCAATTCATCTGTACAGTGAGTTCATCACTGTCATAGTAAAATTATAATATCTAATACAGTAGAAGTCCGAAAATCCGGACTGCTCGGGGATTGGGTCGGTTCGGATTTTCCTGATTCTCGGGCAGTACTTTTAAAATTCAAATTTAAGGAGGAATAAAGAAGAGATGAACAGGTAAATTTTGGTAGTCTATTCATTAGCAAATACTCAGATGAGGCTGTGAATTTTGGAATTTTATTCTTTGCCTTTTTTATGTCGTAAATTGTAGACTTTCTGATGTCGTATGTTTCCATTAGATCAGTATTGCTCACACCACGTTCTAGTTTCTTAATTATTTCAAGTTTGTCACTCAATTTCAATGTGTTCTTCTTTCTCTTCACACAACGAAGTTTATCTACTTTAGGAGCCATTATTATGGGCTTGTAAATACGTATGCTATACAGTATACTATGGTAAATGAAAAGAGTAGGACACAATATTACATACGTTATCACAGTTTGATTGCTCGTTTTAAAATGGCGACCGCGTGGTCGCTTGTTGTCGCTGTGCAGCTGTGGCGCTCACGCATGCGCACACACACACAAAAGCCCACTAAATTTAAAAAGTTTTAGTTTTCCAAAAGTTCGGATTCTCAGGTGGTCCGGATTTCTGGCATCCGGATTTTTGGACTTATACTGTACTGTACTTTATTATATTCTAGTGACTTCATCCACAGAACAGGCCATAGTTCTCTTTATTTACACTCGCCCAACCCCAAGTTCGTGAAAAACTTATTACTTTATTGTTAGATTTAATAAGGACACAGAAGAAAGGAACAGATGCTACACTTTATTCCTAAGTTCTTATGGTTGTTACAGACTTTATTTACCTTTGTTCACTGTAAGTGATCATATTTCATACCCAGAATTGGCCTATAATCCAAGAAAATAGGAAAATGAGGTGCACCTTCGCTTGGGTTTCAAGTTTTTCATGCTGGTAAATCGTGCGGCACGAGCAAACGTTTCGTGTCACTGACAACGTTTTGATGGTTGCACCATACCAACCTCCCAGTCTTCGTCCAGTTGGTACACCTGACTACACCACGATGATGTAGTAACATCATCCGATGGTCGGGAACCACCATGGTCATTCTTGAATTATTAAATCAGTAAACTTTTCTTCCATTGTAATACGACCGTCGGGACACCACAGCATCGTGTACACGACGGCAGTTCTTGCGTTTGGCCCTTAGCCTGAACAAGGAAACTAAATCTAGTTTTAGTGGGAGTACAGGTAGTGCGCACTTGTTAGGGAGATGAGCGGTCACAAGGTAAGCCACGCTGTGATGGCTGAGGTACCACATGTGCAACACATTTTTTTTTCCTTCTAGCCACAACAACATGCCGGGCAGGTCTTTTTGCACTGGGACTGCTTGTTGAAGGGCCAGACATACTAACACTTGTCACTAGAAGGGCCAGGGACACTGGGAGAAGCCTCAGTAGGCACCACACTGTCACCATGTGGTGCAGTTTCCTTGTACTTATTATGTTTTCCCACACCTTCACCAGCAACACAAGGCATAGTTCAAAACTATCACAACACTGTTATCAATAAATGAAATCACTGCGATGAACAGGAAATAAGCACAAGCCATTAAAATAGTGGTTCCCAACCTTTTTTGGCTGCCACCCAAAATTTCCCAACAATACAGTGTTGTGACCCTCAGGCATATGATATATACAGTAGCTTGAATTTTAAGCAAAAATTTGTTTGTGACTTTATGATAAGTACTGTACTATATTTTTAAAATTGTCTGAGGGCCCCTCGCGACACTACTGAGGACACCCCGCAATCCTGATTTGGGTCGTGGCCTGAGGTCACTCAAGTAACCTTGAAGGCGGTCTACAGAGGTGCCAGATCACACCAACATTGCCAAATGTGCATCTTGCATATCTAGAATTCATACACAAACATTAAATTATTTTATTGAAATTTTTTTGTTCTTACACAAATTTACATATGAAAACCCTAACGCAATAAATTAGATCTTATGCAAATTTGTGTATGAAATCGTCAAGAGTGTTAAATAAGCAGTGTAAAGCATAAATTGAGACTTATTTACCTGTTGAGGATGGTAGAGACGTTATAGGGTGGTAAGTTCGAGTCTACTAATCTTTGCTGGTCCATCACCACTCTTATTACTGTATGCCTTATCACATCACATCAAGCTGCCCCTAAGAGAAGCTATCACTGGGGTGTTCAGGCTTGATTGCACAACACACGAAGTCAGAGACACTGTTAAGTGTAAACAAGATGGTGGGAATGAGTCAGAGGCAGTGTGCAGAGCCCTCTCATGGCAAGAATTCACACCACGCCACCGCCCGCCAAATTCAAAACAGCTCTGCCACTCCTCTCCGGGGTATCAACGAAATTTGCAGATTATTTCCCCTATCTGTATTTGTTCGTTATGCGAAGCTGTGGTTATTGGGGCGTTGGTTTTTGGGGTATACCTGTACTGTACAGTTCCATATTCTCATGGTCTATATGTCTGTTTCAGATTATGGGAGATTGTTGGCTGCCTTAAAAATTTTGGTGTAGGGAGAATGGTGGTGAGGAGTACCTTTGAGAGGTACCCAGAGCCATGCTTCTACAGAATTGTTAATGCTGAGCCAGAGATGGACACCGGGCGGCCTCATATGGGTGAGGTGTGTATTTTTCTAGATTAATTTGACTTACTATATTCTGGGCACTGTGGCTGTTATGTTTTCTTAGTTTCTCTCACCTGTTTCTTTTGTGATACTTTGATTTTAATAAATTCTCTTGCATTTCCCAAGAGGCTATTTCCTATAATGTATGTAGATAAAATTTTGTGTTACAAATATATCTTAATCACTTCTTTTATGTCTCGTCTTGGTATATGTATGTACTTGTATGGGCAGATCTCTTTTAATGGAGCTGTACACTACAACATATTTTTGATAAATTGACATGAAAAAATATTCATTTGATACATCTACTGTACTGTACATATACCTTGCCTCCGTTGGCACCAATAACCACGTAACGTGTCCTACAGATTTAATTGTTACTTGGTTCCTGACAAAAACAGACCAAGGTTCAAATATTACAAGGTTAGTTAAGATGGGATGAGGAAGAGATGGGGGGCATCCACTGTCCTGACTCACTAAGGTATAAGAACTCAGACACTACGCTGAATATCATAGCCAGTAAAGTGAACCATTTGATCAACAAATATATACCCAAGACCAAACCCAGTGCCTCCAGGAATACAAGGAGACTGTTACACATGAACCATACGGCAGCCGACAAAGTTAAAAAGAAAACTCAGAAATTTGAAACATAGGTTAGGACAAATGATGAGCCGGACAGGAGGATATATGCCAGATAGAGGAACCAAGCAGTCAAGAGTGTAGAAGGGCTGAAAAAGACTTCCAGAGGCAGATTACGAGTGAGGTCAAGTCACACCCAAAGACGTTTTACTGCTATGCAAAGTCAAAATTACAAACGCTAGTACAGGGTATAGTCGTTCCGGACCTGAGGCTTGAAGACGGTAGTTTCGTTGATTCTGACCATGACAAGGTGGAGGCTTTGAACAGTTGCTTATCCTCGGTATTCACGAGAGGATGTAAACAATCTTCCTGCGTTTGAGGACAGACGGTTTGACACAGTGCTGACCCACATTGTGTTCTCAGAAGAAACTATAAGAAATATACAGTGGTCCCTCGGTTAACGAGCACAATCCGTTCCAGCAGGTTGCTCGTTATCCGAAAAACTCGTTAACCGAAACCATTGTTTCAATGGGTTTTTGGGTAATTGGTTCCAGCTCACCGAAAATTGCCTAAATTCAACAAAAAAGGTAGAAAAGTACACTTACTTTGAGGTGTGTATGTAGAAGGCTCCTGGATGATGATGATGATGATGGGAATTAGAATGGGGGTGGAGGAGAAGGGAGAAGAGAAGGCATTGAGGAGGAAGAGAAGTCACCCCATGGTGCCATTTCACCCATAAAATTTTAGTTCTCTTGGTGTAATTCAAGATTATTTTCTTTAAATCAACAGTGCACTGCATTATATATTGTCAATATGTAAAATAAATTTCAAAATGACCAATAATTTGATGGAAGCACAGAAAAAAAGCTTTTAGTTGAAGAGAGTCTCAAGCAAGATGTTACCTCCACTGAAAACAGAGAGAGACTAACGCCTGTCTGGTGTGTTAACAGGCTGGAAGGCACGCCAGAAACTAGTTTCTTTACCTTCAATTATGTTCAGTAATTGTTAAAATGACTTAAAAAGTTAATATTAAACTTTTAAAATTATTGAATAGTATAAACTTCTTGATATTTACTAAAATACTAAGGAATTTAAGCCCTAAAACCGATTACTGTATTGGCGGACTAATACTACAACTGGTGGACCGCCAAATGCAAGCGAAAACATGTTGAAGTCGGCTCGTAAGAAACTCGTTAATTGAGGGATTGCTCATTAACCGAAGTTAAGAATCTTATGGAAGGTAAATCATTAACCGAGGCACTTGTTAACCGAGGGATCACTGTATTGTCAAAGCTAAAGGTCCACAAGAGTCCCGGCCCTGACATGGTGCATCCCAGAGTGCTAAAAGAGTTGTGCAACGAGGTTGCTGAGCCCTTGAAGATCCTGTTCTGTAGATGCTTGGATGAGCAAAAGGTCCCCAGTGATTGGAAAATGGCTTATGTGAGTCCTATTTTCAAGAAGGGCGATTGTCACTCCATGAATAATTATAGACCAGTGAGCCTGACCAGCACAGTACGTAAAGTTCTTAAGAGCATTATAAGAGATGCCTTGATGGAACGTCTGTTATGAAACAACCTTGTAAAGGATTGTCAACGCAGTTTTATGCAGGGACGCTCCTGTTTAACGCAATTACTCAAGGTACCGGATGTTTTGACCCAAATTCTGCGTGGCAATATCGACAATACGTACAGTAATGTTTCCATTAGCCGGAATCCCTCAAATTCGGAATTCTCCGATAGCCAGAATTGAAATTTTCTTGGAGAATTCCCAAAAAAATTTCCCGATACCTAGAAAAATCCAGGGATGGGGAAGTTTTTTCGGGTTTGAGAGATGAAATCAAGCGCATTTCTCAGAAAATTCCTGGGATGGGGGATATTTCCCAGATTCAAGAGATGATGTATTGGGCAATTTCTGGAACTTCCGAAAATATTTTTCCATTACCTGGAAAATTCCGTGGATGAGGGATATTTTTCCGGGTTCGAGAAATGATGTAATGGGCAATTTCTGGAACTTCCGAAAATATTTTTCCGTTACCCGGAAAATTCCGGAGACGAGGGACTATTTTCCTGTTTTGAGAGAGTTGTCTCGTTACCCGGAAATCTCTCATTCCCGGAAGTGCTCTGCTCCAATTGTTCCAGCTAACAGAGATATCACTCTATATACCCAAATTTTGCGAAGGCTTTCGACAGTGTACCCATGAAAGGCTGAAAATTAAACTGGAAGGGTACGGGATTCGGGGAAGTGCCCTAGCATGGATCGGAGACTTTTGTATGATTGCAAGCAGTGTGTGGTGATTAATGGTATGAAATCGGTATGTGTACCCGTGACAAGTGGGGTGCTATAGGGCAGTGTATTGGGCCCATTGTTGTCTGTTTGTTTCATATATGACATGCCAGAAGCTATACACTCCTCCATACAAATGTTTGTGGAAAATGTTAAGTTATTTAGGGAAATTAAGAACCAAGCAGACTGTGAAGAGTTGAAGAATGATCTCTTGTGAGCTTCAAGAATGGTTTAAGATATGGTTACTAAGATTCAATGTCACAATTTGTAAGAGGATGCACCTGGGACCTACCAACAGTAAGGAGGCATATCACATGTCCCAATGGGACAAAGCAACTGCATTAATAGAAACTGGAAGCAAAAAGGACCTGGGTGTGTATGTTGACAATTAACTGAAGTTCTCAGGCCATTGTGAGAAGAAGGTGAATCAGGCAAATAAATTATTAGGTCTTATAAGAAAGTTGTTATGATATCTAGATGGTTTGTCCCTCTTAACGATCTTCAAGATTGAGGTGTTTCCCCGTCTGGAGTACAGTCATGTGCCGGTTAACGTCCGACCGAACAACGTCCGATCGCATATACGTCCGTGGCCCCCCCCCACCCCCTCCAAAAAAAATCCGTAACGCCTACTGGACCACCACTCCATGACCCCCTGACGGAGACACGATGATCCTCCCCATACTGGTCAGATATTATGTGTTAAAGGAATATGCTTCCTATCTTAGGCTATTTTTAAACATTTGCCTCCAAGTGTAATGTTAACCTACATCTATTGAGGATAAAATCTTTCGCCTACAAATTGACAATAACACATTTGCTGTAATCAGACATATCTAGTTGCCTCAACAATTGCAACCCCAGTTGCAATTGGGGTTGCAATTTCAAATTCTGTGGCATTACTAAGTATAGTGAAGTCTCTGGTGCACTCTAAGATTAAGAGAGAAAACGGAGGACTCAGGCGTCCTGATGTGAGAGAAAACGGACTCGTATGATGGGGGACCAAATAAAAAAAGCATAGCTACATGTTTTGTGGACTACAGTATTAAGCGTACCCTTTTCATCACTTTGTAATAAACCTAGCCATGCCTATGTGTGTTTATGATATTTACCATAACATTATATATATATTTAGTGGGTATAAATGGTCGTAAAATGGGAAACTTGGGGTTGGGTCTTGGGTGCCTGGAACCAATTAGAATAAATCCCATAGGTTCTGTACTTTCGTTATCGGCGGGGTCCCAATTAGGCGCGATAACCAAGGGATGACTGTACTGTACTGTATATACTTGTGACACTGGCCAGTTGCTTCTGGTGTTATGGTACAGGGGTACCAAGTGACAGCACTAGGATCCCGCTTCCTCTATCAAGGAATAAACAATTAAAATTTAAATTGAAAAAAAAAAAAAATTCAAATAATGGGACCTAGCGAACCTAAATGGCCCTAGAGCGGGCACAGTCACGTATGCATCGCGTATTCTTATAGATTGTGCTGCCAGGCGTACGTTATCTAGTGAATTTAGTCAATATTGTACAGTAACAATGGACCTAAGTGCAAACCTGTATTGTACATGTACTAAATGATTACGTTACTAAAATTGTTATGTCTATTGCAAATATAGCTTGTTTATACAGGTATTTAAATAAATTTCTATCTTGCAAGAATCCCTCCAATGTAAGTTATATTCACCCAGGTCGTTTGGGTGGCAAATTATGAGAAGAGCTTAGTCACTCTTAAGTAATGATAAATAAACACACAGGCAGGCCTTCAGCGCCAACTGTCAAATCTTATCTCAAATAAATAAACAAACAAACGCCAGACATTGTCACCTCCCGCCCCCTCCCCCCTACCCCTCGTGTTCAAGATAAAAGATTGGTGATTTCTTTATGTTTATTTTATATAATATCTCAGACTAAAGTTAAGATAATATAATTTACATTGCTGAAATCCTTGCAAGACAGAGATTAATTTGAATATAAGCGTCATATATTTTGCTCAAGATATAAAAAATGTAGTACATTAGTGTACAATACTGTAGTACATTTAATAAAAAGTTTTTCAACTGTATTTTTGGGTAGATTTACATAAATTTCTTCATTTATTTTCATCCATTTACATGCACACACCATACTAA